GGTCATCGCTTGGGTTAGGTCCGTGTTACCATCCTGCAAGCTGGAGCAGGATCCAGTGTAAAATCAGACCCCAACTGGGTTGGGGCTGGTGGTCTCTTAACCCAGGGGGTTCTCAGGAGGGTTTGGGGTGGAAACTGGGGGCTGTTGGTGCCCATGGGGAGCTGACGAGCCCTCCCCTCCCGCTCCCTCTGCTGCAGTTTGATGTCCAGCCGTTTCTCCCCACACATGGTCCCACCACCCACCCACGGGCTGCACCCCTCGGGCATCCCACACCCAACCATCGTCTCGCCTATCGTGAAGCAGGAACCCACTCAGCCCAGCGTCAGCCCCGGAGGCAACTCGTGAGTTGGGGACGGGAAGGGACAGCCCCAGGGACGGGAGGTTGTCCCCAGGCCATCAGCGGGCCCTGACCTACCATCCTGCTCGTTGCAGGAAATCCCCCGTCACTGTGAAGAAGGAGGAGGAGAAGAAACCCCACATCAAGAAGCCACTCAACGCCTTCATGTTGTACATGAAGGAGATGAGGGCCAAGGTGGTAGCCGAGTGCACGCTGAAGGAGAGCGCCGCCATCAACCAGATCCTGGGCAGACGGGTACGGGCATCTCCCTTGGTGCCGGCGAGCTCTGCCCAGCAGCTTCATGCCCGTTTGGGACCGTTAACTGGCTTTCAGCCCCCTTAACTCCACCTCTCCCCATGGCTCCGCCCCTTGACCTGGTGTATCGCCAGGCCAGAAGGTCCTAGGGAGCTGGTGGGGACCTGGATGGCAACGGGATGGCAACAGGACGGGGCTCGCTGGGAGGTCCTTTGGGCCAGCAGTGTGTCCTTGGGGTTTGCAGCATGGCTTTGGGGTTTGCGGCGTGGCTTTGGGGTGCTGGGAGGCAGATGGGATGCTCGGAGGAAGATGGGGTGCTCAAAGGGAGGGTGCTCAGAGGCAGACAGGGTGCTCGGGGGCTGCCATGTCCATGTTTTAACACCACATGGGGTTTGCAGCGTGACTTCGGGGTTTGCAGCGTGGCTTCGGGGCTTGCAGCGTGGCTTTCGGGGTTGTCGGCCCCTTGACCTGGTGTATCGCCAGGCCAGAAGGTCCTAGGGAGCTGGTGGGGACCTGGATGGCAACGGGATGGCAACAGGACGGGGCTCGCTGGGAGGTCCTTTGGGCCAGCAGTGTGTCCTTGGGGTTTGCAGCATGGCTTTGGGGTTTGCGGCGTGGCTTTGGGGTGCTGGGAGGCAGATGGGATGCTCGGAGGAAGATGGGGTGCTCAAAGGGAGGGTGCTCAGAGGCAGACAGGGTGCTCGGGGGCTGCCATGTCCATGTTTTAACACCACATGGGGTTTGCAGCGTGACTTCGGGGTTTGCAGCGTGGCTTCGGGGCTTGCAGCGTGGCTTCAGGATTTGCAGCATGGCTTCACGGTTTGCAGCAAGGCTTTGGGGTTTGCAGCGCGGTCTCTTCTCCCCCCTGCAGTGGCACTCGCTGTCGCGGGAGGAGCAGGCGAAGTACTACGAGCTCGCACGGAAAGAGCGGCAGCTGCACTCGCAGCTCTACCCCACGTGGTCGGCGCGGGACAACTACGTAAGTCTGGCCCCCCCGGATGGCTCCTCTCCCGGGGGGTTTGGCTGGTGGGAGGTTGCTTGCCGAGGTCGGGGAGGTCGGTGTTTGGGGTGCTGGGGGTGGTGGGTGATGGTGCTGAGTCCCTGGGGGAT